TTTTTTAATGCTTCCAGCATAGGATTCCAATTAACCTAAATGAAATGCGGATGAAAGCTCTTAAGAAAAATATATTTGTCATTAGATATAATTGAAAATACCCTTTTTACATAGCAACATAATTGTTTACAACGAACTATTGTTGCTAGTATTTGAGCAGCATAAGGTGGTAGATTTTCTTCTAAGACATTAATATGATCACGTTCTGCTGGTGATGATGATAAACTTCTCAAAGCTAATTCAACAAATTTCTCATCAAGAACAATATCATCATCAGATTCACTTTCACTTGAATCTCTATCATCATAATACATAAGAGAGTCATTATCATCATCATTTGAATTATTCCAATTGGATTGATCATCATTTCGATTCTTTTTTTTGTTTTCTCTGTTTTTTTTCCTTACTACCTGCACTGTAAAATGTTCGTTTTACTATATTATTCAGTCTATGAGGAAAACAATGAACCACTTGATAATCTTCTAATGCTTTTAATAGATTACTACCACGATCACAAACAAAAATTATTTCATTCATTAATTGATCAAGTCCAAAACGAGAAAGAGCAGCCGTAATTGACTATTAAATGAGGTAAACAAAAATAAAAGAAAAAAAAAATAGATACATAACATTAGTTTCAATTTTGCTTCAAACCTTTAATACGTTCCCTGCTGTTTTATCTAATTCATTATATGGTTCACAACAAAGATCAATAGAATGTAAAATATGCTGATCGTCAACAAAATGAGCAGTTAGTCCAAGATAGCTGTTTTGTTTGAATTTATCACTCCATAAATCTGGACTTATAGCTAAACATTCTTGTTTAGCTGCTTTTCTCAATACAACACCTAGACGTTCACGAATATCATTTGCTTGTCGATTAATTTCTCTTGTGATTGTCGATCTTGATGGTAATATATCATTACCATTTATATTATTAAATGGACCTAATAGAAAAAAATAGAGTAATGAATAGCGATTAAAGATTTTAATAGATGTCTTACCACCATTCCAACTAACACATTGTTTGATAATATTTAGAAAACCTTCATCTTCAACAATACTTATAGGACGTATACTTTGACATACCCATAGTGCAACTAATGATGTTAACGTCTTTTTTTTTTCAGAAAAAGATCGATTTATTTTAAAATTCAAAGATGGTGATTTAGTACTAAAAATATAGACAAAATAGATCACATAAAAAGATGATAATTAAAATACCTAGGTGATGTAGATGTTGATGATGATTCTTTGGTACATTTGTGAGAATTTAATGATTTGGTTGATCCATATGTATATACATAAGTTGCATAACAAGATCGACACGTTGCAAAATTTTTAATAACAACATTACGATTATTTTCAATTTTTACAGCAGGAAGGGCAAATCGATTCCAACAGGGAGATGGTTTTGAATTATTCACTTTGTGATTGTCGACAAGCAAGTATTTTTCTGGTTGTTCTTTTAAAAATAATTTTATATTTAACGGATTATATTTAATATTACTCGATGAGCATTGACCAAGAGATGAAGCAATAATTGAAGATGAATGATCAGTATTCGACGAAGACGTACTATCAAGTGATTCATCAGGACATAAATCATGTAATTCGATCATAGTAATTCACAAAAAAAATTCAAATATTAATTCTAAATATAAAATAAGTTTTAGTCCAGTTATTCACTCAATATAAATTAATAGTGGAAGCTGTGCATAACAGAGACGGACGATAAAGAAAGAAAGAAACAAATACCAGACAAGCCTGTACATAATAGGATGAAAGCAATGAACCAATCAATATGTACTTTGTACTACATACGTACACTAACGACATCTCTTGATAAGTTTGACGATCTTTCATCACACCCAAAAAAAATGTTTACCCACCCGAACCCGTGTATTTCATACCCGCTCCGCCCGAGACCCATGTCATTTAAAAAAATTATTACCCGCCCCGCCCGCCCGTGTGCCGAAAAATACCCGTGCCCCGTTAATCCCGCGTTTAATTAAATTTTTCTTCCCCGCCCGCCCGTCGCCACGTGGCCCCGCGGGGCCCGCGGGGTGAACCCCGTGGACCGCACATCTCTG